TCAAACTGTAAATTATAAATGATCCTGAGAGAATATTCAGTGTGTTAAGGATTTCCCTGCTCTACTGTTAGCTCTATACAAGAGAGGAAGGGCGATTCTTTTTTAATTTCGGTTTCGCTAACACAGCTTTCGCAGAAATCTCGCCGTAGTCGTTTTCGTCGACAAAAGGAATAGCAAAATCGCTCCCCGCGTCTTCCCCCATTTTGTTCTGCGTCATTTCGTGAAGGACGTGTGGCTCTCAGCGTGGGTCATCCACGCGGAACACATTCGCGCTATGTGATTGGCTGTTGTCTAATCCCCCTTGACATCTGTGGTGTTAAAAATAACTCGAGACGAATTACCTGTGGAACAGGGTGTATATGGGGGATGGCCTCTCTGTCCCCTTTATAGTCTCTTCTTTTGTACATAATAACAAAAACGGTTCGGTTTAATTACATTCGCAGTTCTCGCAGGCAAGTAACACGAGAAATACAATTAGAAAACAGATTTCCCAGCCTGAATTTCAGACATCCTCTAGAGTCGAAGAAATGCCCGAAATTCAGGCTAAAAGATTTCCCTAGATAGCTTTTCACCGTTTTCCATTAGTACTCGATAAAATCACTTGATCACTAACGATTTTTCTCGATTTCGATTTGTCTATTGACTACTCCGGCAAGTAACTACACGCGAAACTGATGTTATTTTGAAAGGATGGCAGATCTAAATCGTGAAAAAACTTGGCGCTTACAAACCTGGCCAATATCGGCCGTCAGAAGAAGACTTTAAAGCGGGTTTTAAAGAGATTGGCCAGTCTCTAGATAAGGATAAGGGCCTGCAGTCGGACATTGTGTATTTGGATCTCGCAAAGGCTTTCGACAGTGTGAGTGCCACCAAAGGCTGCTTCTGAAACTCTCCCAATACGGAGTCAGCGGGAAACTTCTTCAGTGGTTCGAGAGCTATCAGTAGGTGGACGCGGTCAGCAGTGCTGGGTCCACGGTTTCATTTCTAACCGTTCTCCAGTTCCATCAGGAGTCCCTCAGGGCAGTATCCTCGGTCCTCTGCAGTTTTTAGTTTATGTGAACGATCTCCCGCCGGTGATACAGAATCGTATCGCACTCATCGCTCGTGACTCAAAATGTTCCAGTGTCATTGATAGTCTACAAGATTGTGAGTCACTCCAAAAGGACCTGGACAGTCTGCATTGCTGGAGCGATAATTGGCACCTAACCGTCACACCTAAGCGCCTCCCATTTCGCTACGATTACAAGTTGAACAACAACTCACTTAAACGTGTCACTCAAGTAAAAGACCTCGGAGTGACATCTCGCCGGACCTCACATGGGACACTCACATTAACACTATCTTAGCTAAGGCAAATAGGATGCTCGCATTTTTGCGCCGCAATAGTATTATGCCATTCACTATTTTTTATTTCAAGTTTCGCCCTGGACACTTACATCTTACCCATAGATGATTATGTCAAGCCTAAAGGCACTCGTCTCACTCGCCACAGCTCTGATCAAGACGTAGTAATTCCCAAGTGCCTTACAAAGCTCTTTCAATTTAGTTACTTTAATCGTATTGCTAAACTCTGGAACACGTTACCTGAATCTACTCGTACTCTTAGTTCTCTTAATCAGTTTAAATCTCACATACTCCAACGCTATTCGGCTGCTTTTTGTACAAACTATGACGTCACTAACTTTAACACCTGGAAGTCGATCTGCTGCAAATGCAGTAGGTCACGTAATCTTCTATTTGCTGGCAGCTGCTACTACTGACTGAGACTTTTCATCGGCAGCGGGAGGGATTCACTCTTATCTTTTTTACAAATAGGATTTTTATACTTTTTATAATGTTTTTATGTTTAATGTTTACATAGTTAGTATTTGTGTATTTTCCGTAAGGGCACACTTAATTTGGAGCTTCGCTCTGTTGTGTCCCGGGGCGGGGCACTTGGGTATTTTTTGGGTGGGTATGTGCCGCCCGGGACTCCAAATTGGCACCCCGTTCTAAAAAATAATTTCCCCTAAAATTGATACCCCGTTCTAGAAATGGGCCAATTTTTTATATTCCGTTCTAGAACTCGCCCTAAAACTGATACCCCATTCTAGAAATGAGCCAATTTTTTATACTCCGTTTTGGAAAGTTTGTAAATTGAAATAGCCCTGTTTTTTTAAAAAGATATTTCTTTATTTGTTCGACTTATACATCAAATAAATGCTTTATTATAATCAGCAACAATTTTAAGCAGAAGATAAAGCCGTGATCCACAAGTTTTTATACCCCGTTCTAGAAAACGCCTCTGAAATGGATACCCCGTTCTAGGAGCTTCAAAATCGCGACCCCGTTAATTGGGCGGCACATACCCGTATAGGTAATGTATGGGAGTACCCCCCCCCCCGGTGTTATGTGTCCCTCACCTTCGTCCCTCGTTTTTGTGTCTTGTTCAAATGTTTTTTTTCCCTAGTCTTTCTTAGCATTGTAATCATGGTGAAAGAGGTTAAATAAATAAATGAATAAATAAATAAAAGATAAGATTTTTTTAAACTTTTAATTTAATTAAAAAAGTGATAATAAATTGTTTGATCCTTCGACCCTCAATTGCAACTCTATTGACAACAAATTCACTGTTTGCATGCATTCTTCATTTTGGGATGAACAGAATAAAAATCGATGGAATCGGTAAAATCTAGATAAATCGATAAACGAAACGAGTTTGTCATCGATTTCTACCAATTGATCGATACAATCGATATCAATCCAATCAGATTTACCGATTTTTATCGATTTATCGATTGATAAATCGATACCGATTTTTATCGGTTGACTACTCCGGGCAATAGAAGTATTGGATTACGTCCTTGAAATACGGACCGAAGTCAGTTAATGTTTTTGCATTTACAAACAAATTGAATTTGGTAAGAAAGGTAATGAACTTGAACTCTGCATAGCTTCTTTAACAACATGCGACTTTATCACAGTATAGAGTAAACGTTGAATGTTGATCGTTAATAAACATTGCGCAATTTTTACAACCTGTATTAAGCGGAAACCCTCCATTAAGCGGACACTTGGGAAGGTCCCGAAGGTGTCCGCTTAATAGAAGTTTCACTGTATTAATATTTCCAAAATAGCGCTCTTAGATACCAACTTTGGCCTTCGTTTTCTCGGCTTCTATTTAACGAAAATGCTTCATTTTTAATAAGCAATTTTATTAGCATGATCATATTTTGACTTCATAGCAGTTCTAGTACCTTAAAACCCGCCAGACCCCATGTACGCTATGTACTACGAGGGGTGGCTTAGATTTATATTAATACAAGTATCAACATCCATTCAAAAACTTAATAAATTTCAAGTTTGCAAACAATTGCTGTTTGTACCTCTGTAAAACATATTAGCACTGATCAGAAGCCGATTGTTATGGTCGTTAAATAGACAGAAATCTTTTTCACATATCAAACTGAGATCCACTACGGTAAAAACTGGACGGCCGGAGCCGTCCAGTCAACATTTTAAATATGTCCGGGGGGAAGGGGGGGGGGTTACTCCCTATAATGGCCTATACGGGGAGGCTTCACCTAAAAGGGGTACCATTTTCAGGCTACAGGTATATGAAAGGGTGGGGATTTCACTTGTTGAAGTATTTGAAAGGGTAGGGAATCTGCACATTTCGGTAGGTAAAAAGACCCCGGAAGGCTAACAGACGCTGCAGAAAAAAGGAGAAAACGTTCTGGTTTGGTGATTTATTCATATTATAAAGAAAATGCATTTACAACAGTTAAAAGGAATGTAAAGTTCCAACCTAGGTATGTGAAAGGGGTACCATTTGTCAACAGAATAAAAGGTATAGAAAAGGGGTACCTTCTCTGTCAATAATGGTATATAAAAGGGTAATGGGTTGGCAGCCTCGTACCCAGGGCGCTTTTCCCTGGCTTTGGAGGTGGGGAGGTTGATGGGTTGGACCGCGGGGCGGAGCCTCCCTACGTAAAACTTCTTAAGGTATCCCCCCGGATCAGGTCCCACTTGTTCAAAAGCTGGATAGCGCTTAATGGTGATTTATGTAATATGTGTCCAGCCAGACCAGTCACTGACTTTACTTGTACTTTGTCACTGACTTTACTGTACTTGTAAGCACGGCAGTGATGGATGAGGAAAACTCTCGGCTAAAAAGCCTGTTTCATTTTCAAAATTACCGGTTAGGCCAACTTGACGTTTAGTAAGTACTCATGATTATAACATTTTTACCTTCATTTAGGACAAAAAACTCCAAATAAGATTAAATCTGCTCGAATAATGGGTTATACCCCCGGCCGGCAATGCTGATGAAACTCGCAAATATCTACTCGTAATTTTTCTGGGTTGTGAATTTGTTTTCAAATACGGAAGGGAGCCTGGGCCTAGGCCTAATTATATAGCAAGATCTTACTTTGAACAATCTCATAGTAGCCTGCGCCATATATTTTCAATAAAGTCCTTTATCGTCCGATTTAATATAGCGTGGAATGAACCTCTTCGTCGCTCGCTCGGCCGCTTCCCGGCCTAAAAAGCTCGCTCCGCTAGCTTAAACTTGTGAGGTCGACATGTGGCACGTCTACCTGAGCCACAGACGAAACTTAATTCTGGGCCCCCACCTTAGCCTGCGTAGCAAGCGTTTCCAATGGAGACCCCACCTGTGTGCCAGGATTTGAGTAGGCGCCATGGTCTGTTAAAAAAGCAATTGTCGATTTGCCAATCAAGATGAAAGGAAGTTCGAAACGTACTTGAGATAATTCGTTAAGTCCGTTGGGAGCCCAGAACACAAGAACTCGGCGCTTCTTTGCAGACGTTACTAACCGAGGTTAAATTACGTCTGTCAGGAGGAGGAAACATGCGACATTTAATATTGCCGCTTTATACTTATAGTCCGCTTGTTTTCTGTACAAACATCGTTTAATAAAGCATATAAATAATTGTTTACATAATGTTTTTCTATAAATAAAGTTATAAATAGTCAATAAGAAAGGCCTCCATTAAAAAGGTTAATCAACTAATTACTGAGGCATGTCTACTTCCGTCATCCCTAACATATTCCGCTTTACGAAGCCTTAGTGAAAATAAATTTCGAGCTTTCACTTTCAGCCACGTGATTTCCTTGGTTTCCTTGAGTGTTTGAGGTGACGGAAATAGAGATCTTTTCTACATGATAGTAAGTGATACGTGAGGGTAATAGGACAGAGTGAAATACAATTCAGGGAGTAATCGGGCGAATAATTTCAAATCGGCTGATCGAGGCCGATATGAAATGACGAGCCCGAAAACCCCTGAATTGTACGTCACGAAGTCCTATTACTTGTTGATTGTGTCAATAACAAAATGAGAGAATCTCAGTATTGGAACCTTAGTTAATGTAAGTACAAAGTTCTTATTACATAAAGTTACAGCTTCCGAAGCAAAAACATTGCTTACAATTTTTGGTAAATCGAGGTCCGAATACTTTCTAAATTAAGGGGGTTAACATGTGTCAAAGATTGAAGAATAAAAATCACTGGACTATTAATTTCCTCGATTTTTCTTTTCAAGCTGAAGCCTGACAGCCTATTCACTCATTATCTTTTCATTGAGTTTTATCGCTTGTTATGGGCTATGCCGTCAAATTTCCTTGTCCAGTAAAAGGCGACTTGATTTTCACTGGCTGTTTAAATTTACGATTGGACGTATCCGATTACGGGCTGTTAAGATCCAATCAGATTCGAGCATTTTGTTATTGAGATAATTAATAGATTAAAAAGCTTGCACCGATAAACATATTGTACCGCTCTAGCGATTCTATGATGGGTAATCTACAAACAAATGACTCTGACTGGTAAAGACAATTAAACAGAGTATGTGACTATCAGTGAAGAAATGTAGTCTTTCCACTGGTAAACGATGGAATAAATACAGAGCAAGCAAAAATAGCATTAAAATAGGAAACAGTTTTTCGTGGGGTATACAGAAAAACCACCAAATTGCCATATTTCTAAATTTCCGTCAAATGGCTACAACATCCAGGGTAAACTGTCCACTAACAAAGTTTGGAAAAAGAGAATAAGTGATATTTCTCTAATTCTATGATTTTCTAACTACATCTATCCAATAAAAAACGATTTCAAAAAAGCAAATATTTGCAACTTCTAAGCATTCGGGGGCAAAGAAATTGAAAGACCTGTGATGACCGATTTAAAAACGATGTAATAAACTGCTTATAGTTTGTTGCTTTGAAATTTAACGGGAAAAAATGTTTGCTTCATGTGCTGAACACAAGAAAAGGCTAAAACTTTTTTTTTATGGCACAGCAGACTTAAGCAGCATTTTTGTTGTGCTGTACTGCGAGGCGGTGGAAACTGCGTTATGAATGGCAGTAACCTAAATTCACATAATTTGAAATGTTCCGGTACTACGAAAAATAAATGATTAAAATAAAACGAAACGAAACGAGACGAACACAATGTATAAACCGAAGAAAAAAGAAAAAACATTGACCTGAAGTTGGTAGGTACATAATATATTATTCACATTAGTGGTATTTCCCCATTCTTTTCCTCGGACTTAGATTATTCTGCCTGTTCTGCATAAAAGATTTACTGACATCGAAGCGATTAACATTCGATTCATGATTCTTATTGGCGCGGGTTTAGGAGGCATTTATGTAATGCGGAATATGTACATAATATATCTTTAAAGACAATTCAGTTACGTCTATTAGAATTTGATGAATCCATTGTTTAGGCAGGAGCCCTCTCTGAACTGAATGTCATCAAGAGCAATATCACCCGTGTATCCTCGGCCACGTAATCCCTCAAACAATACCTGAAAACAGAAAAAAGGAACAAGAAATGTTACAGTTTTGTCGTCTGATGAGAAACTGAGATGAATACTAACTCAACGCCTGTCACACTGATGATGATGAACGCAAATCTCAGTGTTTTAAGTGTCCTTATGGACTGGCCATGGGTTGCTGCCCTTATGGTGGTTTCCGTTTAAAGAGAGGGTATCGTCTTAGCAGTAAGGCTGTTAACCACATGAGGGGACTAGTGTGTTTAACTCATTGCGGTTTCTGTCTTATACTGTCAACCTAACTGAACTATCTGCCCTGTTGAGATTCACGGCAAGTTGGGCTGCCCACCTTAGTGGATAGTTCACCATAACGAGGTGTCCAACTGACGTCTGGGTTATCCATATTACCATCGTGTCTGTCTTACTGTCCACCTAACTAGACTGTCCCCTTTACTGTGATGAATGGCAGTTTAGGTTGTCTCCTGCCACCATAAGAGTAGCCTAACTGGACATCCACCTCACGGGTTTGTCTGCCATACTGAGGTTTCCGACTGACTTGGATATCCAAATAACTGTGGTGAACTGTTCGGCCATCTGGGGAGTACGGCAAATTGGTTTGTTCATCGTACTAAGGTTTTTATAAAGTAGAGTCTCTTTTGAGTAACACTTATTTTATTAGACGTTAATCTTTGTTGTTTTCTATTTTGGGCTTCCAGAATCAGAATGCCTTACTTACTCTGTATTTAGAGTCGGAACTGAATGAAATATGCGTCTGTTTCCAGTCTTTTCCTTGTTCTCCAGATTTTGACCAAATTCTCGTCTTATTCCCCGATCGGCTGTTTATATGGTATACATTAAGTGTCCCCACGGTCCTTCCGTGCATGCTGTACCACCAGCTGAGACACCTCTCTTCAGTTGGCTCGAATAATTCGCTCATCAACTGAGACTTATATCCAAACCTCGCAGGGTACGAAGACTCGATGTAAAGGTAATACCCTAGGCAAAAAATAACGAAAAATTTCTCAGTCCGCTTAAACCAGGACAATTTAACACCATGAAGCCGTAAAGCTCTACATGTAGCCCTATTATCCTACTCTTAAAATATCATCAAGCACTACCTGTGTTGGGGTTTCCTAGCGGCCTGTTTGTTCTCATTAGTTCAGTTCCAATTATCGAATGTTTCGGGTAAATGAAGTTAAGCATGGCAAATTTGAGCTTGCGCTAAAACGCGTCGCAAAATGTTGGGTTCACGTTTGTTCTCTGCTTAATGTGGGCTGCCTAACGAAGCTCTCATGGAAGGGAAAAATAATATCGTTTTAAGCTAAAAAGAATACTTATGAGCATAGATTGCGAACAGTTTTTGGATTGTGTAAAAAAAACACTAAAGTAAATAAAAACACACCATTTTTGCCACCGTGATCGCCGTTTGGTCCTGTATTTCTACTAGGGGTGGGACCCCTATGGCGGTACCATTTGAATGACGGAGAGGTGCTCCATGCATTTGTCCAGTGACAATAATCTTGATCGAAATTGCAATCTACTGAGTCTAGAACAAATAGGAAGTGAAAAAGGTTTGTCAGTGTCGACATCAAAAGTGCTCAAAAGCGCACAAAAATTCGGCTCTCTCAAAAAAGTCAATTTACCAACGCAAGATTAAACTGAAAATCTTACAACAAGGCAAAGCACTAACACAGACCGCGTCCATACTGGATAGACTAAGAAACATCAATCACCTAAAGCCAGATTCATCCAACCTTAAGAAATATCTCAAGCTATTATTTAGTGACCATCATCTATTCAAGTACAAAAATCATAGGATAATAGTGAAAGTGGTATCGGCGCCGCCCACCAGCGGTACAATGATATGCCGCGTATCACTAGCCTTTTCTACTTTCGATCTTCAGTCATAAGCGTTGAAATTTACTAACATAGAGGAAAAAGTGCCTAAAACTAAATCGCGCATGTCCAGGATTGCCCGCAAATTTTTCCTACAGCTTACAATCCTCGACATACCTTGACCAAATATTACAAAAAAACACTTTATTTTCAATTTGCATGGCCTTATTTTAAGGTTAATATTTCTTTGTATAATTTAGTGACTTACAGAGCACCCTTTTTAATGGTTCTTTAATGGCGCTTTTAATGCAATGATATTTTACTCAATCTTGGCCAGTTAAAACAATTGTTCTGAATGCTTTAAACAATTAACTAGAATGCAGAATGCAGGACTCAAATCAGATGTCTTTTTTGTTGCGGGAAGCAAAGGCTTAAGTCCTTTTCTTACTTAGACCTCAAACGTGGTGAAAGGCTATCCTAATACAATTGTTGGTTTGAGGGGAGCTTTCAGTTCTCTTTCGGGACTGCAGTCAACTTACAAAGATTTTCTTTTCTTTAAATAACACTTGATTTAAGGCAAAGGAAAGTACAAATTCCACCTACTATCAAGACACGCCATCATATTGCACATTCGGAATTGTGTATCCGCTCCTGGACATGTTTTGCCGCCAAATTTGGGCGCTGGGTCACTGCATGTTCTCTTTCTTTTCTGTTTGCCGTAACCACAGGACTTGTCACAGGCATCCCATGCAGCCCATCGTCCCCAGTTGCCATCGACTGGCGCTAAAAACAGAATCAGGCAAGCGCTCGGATTAAAATGTGACGGAAAATAGGCATTACTTTTTTTTATACAATAAGACATTTAGCCATGGTTAGTGGCTAAGTACAAAAATTTCCATGTACAAATAATCCGTATCGGGTGAAAGAGGATTCCGACTGAACATAATGCGTCACTTTCAGAGAAGCAGCACTAAGAACTAAAGGTGCTGGAGATCCCTCAAATGTAGACGCTAATGGATTTCAAAGGATCCTTGATCACAAGTCATTCACGAAATCTGACTCTAATTTGTGTGACGCTCTTGCAACTCTGACCCATCAGTTGTGCACAGAACCGTTGATCCCACGACTATTGAGCCGATTCTAGCAAGTCAGTCTTATCCCGCTGGATAAGGGTAACGGTAAAGTCCGACCAATAAGAGTGGGGGAAGTAATCAGAAGAATTATTGGGAAGTGCGTGACATACTAGAGTCGAGTGGCTCACTTCAGGTTTGCGCGGACACAAATCAGGGAGTGAGGCAGCAGTGCACGCAATGAACAGCTTATTCCAGCACGAGTAAACCGATGCAGTGTTGCTAGTGGATGCTTCACGAAAGGGTATTCCGCGGCCTTTATCACTATTAGTTAGAAATTTTACCCGGTTTAACTGAATGAATACAAGTCGTCACTAAAGCGAGCCATCTGTTATAAGTATGAAGACACCCGGATGTTTGACCTACCGTAACATTCGTCATGGCTGCATTTTCGGCGGTCGGTTTGAATTCCATGCGAGTCGGCCCCGGGACAATGCGACCGCGGCGAGAAACAGACTCGCTGACGATACTTCATACATCTGCTGTTACAGGGAGTGTATGCTGACCACTCACTCCATCCTAACTCCTGTTCATCTGTTAAAAGAATACAAATAACCCTTATCAGATGAAAGAGGATTACGACTGAACATAATGCGTCACTTTCAGATGTCTTTTATCCCTTTAATCTAACTGCGTGATAAGTTTAAGACAATACCCTGTCTATTTATTATTACTGTTGTTATTAACAGGAGGAGGAGGAGGAGAGAGAGAGATGTCTAGAAAAGCAGTAAACTTATAAAATGGACTGAGCAAATAAATTGAGATGTATTGGATTGTAAAAGACGGGTCATGAAAATGATGGTAGAAAGAAAGGGTACATTGAAGTGACGAAACGACTATGGGACGAAATGGGCTGTGAAAATCTTGGTATAGAAGCCCGAAACCTGAGGGATCAGAACGCAAGACTCAAAAGATTGCAAAAATGCTCTGTGGATACTACTCCAGAGGAGTCCAGAGTGACAAACGACTCAGGGAACTTTCAGTCGCAAACAAGAATTACAATTTCTGATGATGAAAATAATCAAAATGATTAAGACAAGGAAGCCAAAATGCTAATTTCCCGCCGAATGATAGCTTGAATTTGCATACGACTGCATTTCAAGTCTCCGAGGAATAATTAGACGAAGAGCGTGACGAAACGGCTAATGAGATCATATTTGCTGAGGTGCCAGGCTCCTTGCCGGCGGAATTTTCAACTAATGTGGACACGCCTTAATCGATTGTTTGCAGTCAATCGGAAGGAAAAGTGATAACAGTCAACTCAGAAATCATCAACGCGTATATTGAGATAACCTCGAACCAAAAACACCTTCTTAGTTCCGTACGGGAAAATCGGCAGAGAATTTATTGATAAACTTACAAAGCACATAAATGACTGGAACAACAGGTCGGGAGTCAGGATACAGCTTTGAAAGCAGCTTTTTTTCTTTTGGCTCCAGGGATGCAAAAACCAAGTCAAAAGTTTAAGGCAAAGGATCATCGAGAATGCGAAGCAAAGAGGCTAGCACTGTTGAGCTGTTACGAGAAGGACGAACGATCCAAAAACGCCTAGTTAGATCCCAAAGAAAAGATCCTCTGCACAAAGCAAAGATATCTGCGAAGCTTATCATGGAAGGGCAAATAAACTCCATCCTAAGATACCTTACTGATGATGGCTGTGGAGGTGAATTATCCCTGACTGATGACGTCACGACGCAACTGCATGGCAAGCTCCCAAAAGCGAAACCAGCTAAGCTGGGAGAGCTGCTGTTTGGTCCAGATGAGGAGGTGCACGAGTCAGCTAATAATGAGATCACTAGCTGGTGAGATGATTAGAGAAGCAGCACTAAGAACTAAAGGTGCTGGAGATCCCTCAAATGTAGACGCTAATGGATTTCAAAGGATCCTTGATCACAAGTCATTCACGAAATCTGACTCTAATTTGTGCGACGCTCTTGCAACTCTGACCCATCAGTTGTGCACAGAATCGTTGATCCCACGACTATTGAGCCGATTCTAGCAAGTCAGTCTTATCCCGCTGGATAAGGGTAACGGTAAAGTCCGACCAATAGGAGTGGGGGAAGTAATCAGAAGAATTATTGGGAAGTGCGTGACATACTAGAGTCGAGTGGCTTACTTCAGGTTTGCGCGGACACAAATCAGGGGGTGAGGCAGCAGTGCACGCAATGAACAGCTTATTCCAGCACGAGGAAACCGATGCAGTGTTGCTAGTGGATGCTTCACGAAAGGGTATTCCGCGGCCTTTATCACTATTAGTTAGAAATTTTACCGGTTTAAACTGAATGAATACAAGTCGTCACTAAAGTGAGCCATCTGTTATAAGTATGAAGACACCCGGATGTTTGACCTACCGTAACATTCGTCATGGCTGCATTTTCGGCGGTCGGTTTGAATTCCATGCGAGTCGGCCCCGGGACAGTGCGACCGCGGCGAGAAACAGACTCGCTGACGATACTTCATACATCTGCTGTTACAGGGAGTGTATGCTGACCACTCACTCCATCCTAACTCCTGTTCATCTGTTAAAAGACGTTAGATTGTCCAATTATTGGATGCATGGAATTACCGCACCTCTGACGTAGAAAATCATAGTCCCCCCCGCCCCCGCACGGCTGCATACTCCCGAAGTGAATAGCATCTTCTGATTGAGGAAGGAATTACCAGTTTGTTTCAGCTTCAGCTGGACGCATGGTCAGCAAAGAAAATTTACTCAATAAGTAACAGCGGTACTTCTAATTTTTATTAAGAACTTAC